TTATTTTGGGGAAAACTATAATAATAATATAGATATTTATTTTAAAATGGAAGTCTTACTAAATCAAAATTATAAAAAAAAAAATCTACAATAATTAGCAAAGCTATTACTAAGTAGTTCTTTTTAATAAAAATAATATCATGACACAAAATTAAAAGAAAATTAATTAAAATAACCATTTTCAGCTTGTGTTTTTACCTTTTAGTTATTTTTCTCCTAAAATTATCAAAATGACAATAGGTCTACAAGTGAGAGGTATGCATTTACGGAATAGTCAAAGTGTAATTTTTTTATTTTTTGAATAAAGTGCAGAGACCATATTTGTAAAATTAATTTAGGTCCACGATAACACATCCCAAGCGGAGGTGTTGGATCAAATTTACAATTTTTGTCCCCGCACTTGCGGACGTGGTTTAGAAACTTATTTTTTTTTTAACACTTTAACCCTTCCGTAAACTATGGACCTGCCACTTACGAACCTAGTGACATTTTGGTAATTTTGAAAAAAATTGACTAAGAGATAAAATTAACATCTGAAAATGGTTATATTAATTAATATTCTAAAATTTAAAACACGTTCAAGAGATTATTTGAAATGAAGAAAAAAGAAGATTTTGGACAATTTTTTTACTCCAACAGATTTTTCAAAAAAATTCTCCAAAAGAGAAAATACGAGAGATTGTAAAATTCCATAAATTCGGAGACTCCCAAATGATAAGAAATATTTTGTATTTCTCTACCACAATCGAGAGAAACCCTATCATTCTCTTTCCTATTTTTCGTCCCCATGTCGCCACAGAAGGTATGGGGACATAAAAGGGGAATCCCGACTCAAGATAATAAGCTTATGAGCTTGATTTTAATTTATTGCCGACGAATGAAAAAAGACTTTGAGGCTGTTTGACAGTTGCTGAATGATTTGGTGCAAAATTATTAAGTGGTCAGGATGATTAAGAGTCTTTCATGATATAATGCAAAATGAAATATAATTGTTTACAATGAAATTAGGGCGCTTAATGGTTAAGAGAGATCCATGATACAAAATCATTCAGAAGATTTTAGAACCATTAAGAGACATATATTTTTTTTTTGCCAAACAAGATTCACCTCTTAACGATTCAGATGTTACCTCTTAATAGAACTAATAAGAGATAAACAAACAACCCCTTTTATTTTCAAGTTTAACTCAGACACATCTCCCTTCTTTTCGGATGTGAAGCAATGTCAAACCAAAATACCCAACAAACATTAGCTCTCCCTAAAAAGGAGATAATCTAGCCGCATTTTCAGTACAACTGCTTTATTAATAACAAACTTTGAAATTAAATGTCTGTAGAAATTTTTTCGGTTAAATGTATACGATATTTAATAATAAAATCAATATTTAATTATATCATTATTCTCAATAAATTTTATAAAATCCTTCAAATTATTACAAATTCTCATATCAAAATTATTTAGTACTCATTATCAACACAAGCAATAAGATGACAAAATTCTGTAAAGCTATTCTACTTTATTTTTATTAAGCAATATTTTAATATTCCATTAAAAATAACGAAATAAATTATTTAAAAATGTATAAATAAATAAATGTTAATTTTTTTTTAAATTGTAATTTATAGCATATCTTTTTTCATCTTAAGCCGTCTTCGATGACGGATTCGAGATTTTTGCAGAGTATGTGCTCCTTTAAAGTTGATTAAAAGTTCGTAAAATTATCTAATGTGTTTTTAGCTGAATTTACCATTTCGAAGGATTTTTAAATTTTTGGTTGATTTCAAATACTTATAATGTATTTGTTTGGGTGCTTTAAAATCAAAATATTAGATTTCTTTTATAAGCATAGTAGCTACGGGTTGAATTTACATGAGACCAACCAGTTTGCGTGAAACTCGTAAAACCACTTCTTTACATTTCAAATTTCACAGCAAAAAGCTGTGAAGGTAAAAAAAAAGTCGAACATTCACAACAAAAACACTGTGAAGGTTACTTTCACAGCGTTTTGTTGTGAAATTTCAAGTGTAAAAAAGTGGTCTCACGAAAACAGGTTGATCTCACGTGAACTCAACCCATCAAACAATGACTCCAACTTTTGTTGACAGAGTCTTCCAATCGTTTGCCAACTGAGTTACATGCCAGAGACGATTAACATATATTTGTTTCACAAAGTGAACATCTTTAATATGTTTGTGAAACAAATTAAAAATACAACTACAAAGTTTCGATTATGAAACGAATACATATGAAACAAACATATGGTAACCAAAATATTAAATTCTAATCTTGGATTGAAAAAAATTATGTGAAATAATATCTTATGATAGTAGTTTTCACATTTTGTTGCATAGCTACACTTCCAATATACAACAAGTTACGGGCCATCATCATAAATAACCACATGGGTTCCAATCTTTTTCTCACAAAATAGCCAAAAAAACCTCAAGTCAATGTTGCAAGACATTTTTTCTTGTGGTGTTGTAAGCTGCAACATGTCGTTGTAGTGACACAAACTACGAAATGGCTTGTGGTGCCGCAATATGCAACTTTGGTTTGGCTTTTGCATCGTCAATGTATGTCCTTGCAGTGCCGCAAACTACTGTGTCTCAATTTATTTATGTAGTAGATCCACTTTTCATCTTGATGCGTCGAAAAACGTCAGAAAACCGCAAGAAAGAAATCCCTTGCGAACCTTGACTTGTGGTTTTTGTGAGAAAAAAACTTTGAATGTGGCTAAAAAGTAAGCTTTTTTCTCTACTTTTCATCCGGGCTATTTGGTTCATGCTGGAAATGAAAAATGACATTGAACGAATTTTCGTTCTCTCAATTTAACCTGCAACGAAAATTTAGACTTACAACAGAATAAACTCATTATATTATATAGCGCAAATTGCATGGAAAAATAACGTACTTTAACTTGGTTCATATTTTGGACAACGTATTCTAAAACTTTCATTTTAGTACCTAAGATGTAAAGTTTTAAACATTTAAACACCCAGTTAACCTGTTGAAGCATTAACCAGTTACCATATTGATGTGTCGAAGGTACTTAAATGTTTAAAACTTTACATTTTATGTACCAAAATGGAAGTTTTGAAAGTACTCTACTCAAAATAAAAATCAATTTAAAGTACGTTGTTTTTTCATGCAATTTGCTTCATTGTATAAAACCAAACAATTTCATTTTCATTAATTAATGCTTAATTCCTTTTCAAACATTAAAAGTTGACACCTCATAATATATATATATATATATATATATATATATATATATAGCAGTGACCAGCGAGTGAAGCAGTAGTATTGCTTGCTATAAATAGAATGCCACCATGAATTCATTAACTCACACTTGTGATATCATCAGCCTATACAAAAACACACCATTTTAACTAACTTCATTTTCGATTCAACTTCAAGTGATCCAAAACGGGTGTTCCTTTGTGGATGCTTGGATTCGGTGCAGTTCGTCTGCGAACCGATATGAATCGATTACTTTCGTTACTCTTTCATCAAGGCGTTCTCGACGAACAGTTTCTGCAACTCCAACAACTTCAAGATCAAACGTCTCCCAACTTCGTCTCCGAAGTCGTCACCATCTACTTTCACGAATCCGAAAAGCAGCTTCGAAACCTCCGAAACCTAGTGTTCGTAAAACGATTCTTTCGATTTTTCGTTGATTAATTTATTCGATTTTAGGGTTTATTTATGTTTTCTGAATATGGGTTTTAATGGGTTTTTGAATTTGAAACCATTAATTAGGTTGGATAGAGAGACGTGGGATTACTGTAAACTGGGAATACATTTGAACCAGTTGATGGGAAGCAGTTCAAGCATTGGTGCTAAAAGGGTTAGAAACATATGTGCTGCTTTTCGAGCCGCCGTCGACCAGAATAATCGTCCAGCGTACGTTTCTATATATATATATATATAATCATTTACAAACTCAATAAATCGTATAAACTTAAAAACTAGTTTTCAATGTGTGTTGTTTCGTATATGAAACAACATAACACATGTGAAAACACAATGTTTATACATTGTCTGAAGTAAGATTGTTTTCCGTGCAGAAAAACAGTCAATAAACGTTTCGAATATGAAACAATATTGTACGAACACTGCATTTTTACGCATGTTGTTTCACATACAACACGTGAAAACCAGTTTGTATGAATTTTTTGGTTCATGTGAAATTAACATGACTATCTTGTGTGTAGAAGAAAAACGGTGTTAACAAGCATTGTATAAACACTACATTTTCACACGTATTGTTTTATATATGAAACAACACATAAAAACTAGACGAATTATTCGATCTGTAAAAAAGATAGACTATATATATATATATATATATGTGTGTGTGTGTGTGTGTGGTTGTTTTGTTTATGTTATTATATATTAGATCGATCGAATTTGTTTGTATTGATGTTTATGTACATATGCAGGTGTATGAGAGCATTAGAAGTGCTTGAACATGAATACTGTTATCTGAAAAACAAGCTGCATGAATTGTTTCAAGTAATTACTTAACCATTTTCGATTATGTAATTTGGTTGATAATTTGATCAGATTATTTTTTAAAAGAGAAGGACGTTTTATCAGATATAGACAAAAAAATAATTCAAGTTTAACTGATATAAGACTTTAAGTATATATTGTTGGTGTTTTGATTGAATAATGATGAGTGTGTGGCAGATAGAGCAAGAAAGAGTTCTGGGAGATGCAGTGAGATATCCAGGTGCAGTTAACCAGCAGTGAATGGAAGGGAGGGCATGCAGTAGTAGTTGTTTTTGTCTTTTTGCTAATTATTAGGAGGGAATGTAAGACACCAACTTTTTACTAGTGTTTATTGTTGGCCTTTTTATGCTTACATTTTTTGGGATACCCGCCGCAAGATTCCTCTCTAACATTCTTCTCAAATATAGATTAAAAATGCGCACACGCGCGCACATATATATATAGAGAGAGATAGGTTCATGCGAGACCAATCTATTTTCGTGATACCCGTGACACTACTTTGTTATCCTTGAAACTTCATAGCAAAATGTTGTGAAAGTAAAAAGAAAAACCGAACCTTCATAGCGTTTTGCTGTGAAGTTTCAAGTGCAAAAAAATGGTTTCATGAGCCTCACGTGATCCCAAGTCTATGTATATGACTATATTTTTACATCTAAAACTTTACGGTAAATTATTATGAAGGTAAAAAAATTGAAACATTTACAATAAAAACACTATAAAAGTTACATTAATAGTGTTTTACTGTGAAGTTTCAAGTGTATATGAAATTTTACATTTTATTTTGCTTATTACTTATTTTGGAAGACTATACTTTTAGTACGAGTGTTTCAATTTGGGCCGCAATCCATGTAGTGGGCCCACGACCCACTAACACTAAGGGATTCTTGACCCATTTGTAATGCCTTTTAAATACTTTTATAAGTACGATAATTTATTTAAAATAAAAAATAAAATGTACTTGCCCAAAATCATCTAACTTATAGTTAAATATATAATTATTAATGAAAGCTTACGAAAGTAAAAAAGGGAAAGATGCAGAAAATTTTAACTGATTTTTCGATTTTTAAATAATTAATTACATTGATATTTATTCGAATGAATAAATCTGTAGGTGTTTGATCCTGAATATATAAATATATATATATATATATATATATTTTTTGGATGTTGGACTGTAATTCAAAAACCAACCGATTAATTTTAGATGTTAAAATTTTAGATCCGATATCCAGTTACGATTGGATATTTGATTATAGTCAATCAATTCTAATTAAGTTTTCTATAAACCCTAATCGACAATAGATTTTTATTTGTTTCTCATGCTCAAATATTTTATTAGGTTTCCATTTTGTAGCATATTCATGTATTAAAACCCACACATTATATACATACATACATATATTAAAGGATGTTTAAACCTGAACAATAACCAAATAAAAAAATACGAAAATAATTGAATTACGTATAAGATCACACGTGACTTTAAAATGATTGCGAAGGGTGTACTGGAGACATAACCGATGACTCACATATGATTCGACCCATTTAAATATTGTCTTATTTAATTACTTTTCTCTCTATGAACCTTACTCTACATATACGTACACACACACATTGTATGTATCTATATCTGTATAGATAGACAAAAACTAGCCAACTTGAACCTCCTTGATGATGTCTTTCTTCTTGGTCTCATCTTTTGGTATGATAAGATGCAACACCCCATTTTTCATCTCCGCCGTGATCTCCTCCACTTTCGCATCCTCCGGCAGCCTCAGGCTGGTGTTATAGTAACTGTAACTGGCGCCCCACCAATTCTCATCCTCACCGGAATCTTTATGCTCTCCTCTGATGAACAAAATCCCATCTTCAACTGAAATCTTCACATCATCTTTAGACAACCCTGGCATTTGATATTTGATGTCATAGCTTTCATCTTTCTGTTTCAATCTTCTGATCAGATGCCATGGCGATAAGTTATTCAGTAGTCTGTTCATGGTCGCCATCGCAGTTCCGAATCCTGGTTTCAAGAAATCTTGAAATTATTAGATGAGAAAGAAAAGGTGGTTAACCACAAGGGTTGTGGTGTATTGATCAAGAGATATGGTGAAATATCTCATCTGTCAAGGGTTTCTAGGTGTACACGACAATTATAGGCACTGAGTTTATCAGTGATGATTTCTTGCCGTCACAATTTACCGGACTTAGTCCTGGCTATGACTAGGACACCCTTCTAAAAAAAGAGAAGGTGGTGTAGGAATATGATCATCCCTGTCCCCAAACGGGATGCGTCTCATTTCCATGCCAAAATTAGAGTTTAAGAGATTGAAGTTTGTACCAGAGAGAGAATTCCGATGATTGTTTTTCGACCAAAGTGATCTCCGATGGGCAGAAAACAGTTTGGGTTTGTTGGTAGAGTCGTCGTCGGAGATGGAAACCTGTTTGGTGTCTGGTTTTTCATGGTGGTGGGTGGTGGCGGAGGAGAAACGGTGGTGGAGGAGTTGAGAGCTCCATGTGTGTGTTTTGAGCAGTGATCTTTGAGTGTGAGTGAGGTTGTGTAAGTTGAAACGAGACAAGGCCATTATGGTGGTGGCGCCGGCGGTGGTGGTGGTGAATATATAAAGGAGGGTAGGTGGAATAATTAAAGATAAAAAAGGGAAATGATACGAGAAGTTTCGTGTTTTCTCTTTGATTTTTTTTTGAAAACTCTACCTCCTTCCACAACCTATTTAATTTATTACAATTTTAGAAGGGTGTTTGTTTGGTTTTTATCAAGTACCGTTTGAATAGTGGTATGCATATTCTATTTGTATAAATCAGAAAGATTTGTGTTTGGCAGAATTTTTTAATAAATGAAATGAGCGTGTTTTTTAATAGGGATTGAGATGTTTGGAAAAAAAACTTACAGTTTTATCCCTTGAAATTTACTAAATAAGCCACTTTTTTATATCATTAAGTCACTATCAGTCATATGTATTGCTACCAAATAAGTTGTGAGTTTGATTAGACAAACAAACCCTAAGAGGGCGTTTATCTGATGAAATTGGAATGATCAATTCTATTGACCAAATTCCAATCCAACGTTTGATTTTGAATTTCATGAATTCCATCAACTATAGATTTTATCATTCCATTTCTATCGTAATGAGGAAGAAAATAAATTTTGTTCCACCCGACATTCTTAAAATTATATTAAGAGGGGAGCGGACCTTGAAAACAGCATTTGTCACGTAGAAACATCAAGGGGATGAAAACAGGGGCATATTGCCATAGGAAAAGTAAATAGGGGCAAGGGCGGACCTATTAATAGGGAAGCGGAATCTCATGTACCTGCTCACCCGATTATTACAAGAGAGAAAATATTTGACATCTGAAAGGTACACTCACTTGATTTTGATGGGTGCCTTTAAATACCTTGAAACCAAATTTGTAATATTATCTTTTAATTTTTAGGTTGAATGAATTGCACTCAGTACAATTATAAGTATCATTACACTATGAACCAATTCGTCTTAAAATCCATCTCTTTTTGCCTCATTGTCAAGACAACATATATTTATTTTGAAGATCAATTCCATTCGACAAAATGTATTTTATTCCCCAAACCGACACAATTGACTATTCTCTGGTCAAATCACGCCGACTTTCCCCAGGTCAAACCGTAATTTTGTGGACCCACCCTAAGGTGCACTCGTTCGGAGAAATTTCTGGAACCGCTATTGAGTATTGACTGTGGGAGAAGAAGACGTAAAGAGAGGGCAATTATCAACCAGAGAAAACGTAAAAAGAGACGGTATTGAATATAAATCAGACTAAAATATGTTGGATGTATCTTGCCTGTAAGGGTCAAATGATGTTACTTTACCAAACTCTTTTCACTTTGTGTAATTTTGTCTCGAATCCAACTATTTATAATACTTAATTTGGCTAAAAATAAAGAAAATGATGCGATATCTCCCGTCCTAAAATAAACGTTCATATTTTTATTTTTATTTATCCTTTTGAATGTTCACCTTCAAAAGTAAATATCTATCTCAATTATGAGATGGATAAAATTCCTTTGTCTCTGATTAAGGGTAACCTTTTATTAATTAAAAAGGGTAAAAAAAAATCCAAAAAAACGGTTTTTTGATTTTGGGTAATTAAATTTTTGGACAATTTAAAAAAAAAAAAAAAAACTCTTTAACTTTTCAAAACCGATTAAATAAATCTTTTTGACCTAAAAAACCGGTTAGTGAGGGATAGTCTAGTCTTTTACCATTCAATTGAAAAAATAAAATGTCTTCCTTAATTTTTATTTTACGAGGGTATGTGGTTTCAAGTGACGGTGGTGGCTCCTACAGCTAAAACGTTTATTTTATGAAGTTATGTGGTTCCAAGTGACGGTGGTGGCTTCTACAACTAAAACGTTTAGTAAACAGACCCTAAATCATAGCTAAAAGTAAATGAATTAAAAAACCCAAGTTGAATAAATTTTTTATATTAAAAGTGTATGAGAAATAAGAAGGTAGTGGTACTAGCATGGAGTATTATTTTAGGTGACAACTGAAGAGAGTAGGTTTCTTTGTTTCTATATACATTAACATACCTGCTAGGCTTTTCTCAATCATACATTCCTTCTTGCTCCCACACATCCACCAGAAAATCTACCATTTCCTGCATTGCCAGTTTCAACTACCATGTCTTCCTTCATCCACATAATTAAATCATAATTCTAAATTCCAACAGATCGAAGAAGCTTACGGAGAGAGGAACAGGCATGGCGAACGGCTTGTTGCTACCCAGCAAACTAACATACGTTTCGTTCCAACTGCAGAATTAGACACTCCACAAATCAAGAACATATGGACCCAGATGCTTATTCAAACTTTTCTACGAATAGAATCTTGATGGATGCCATGCATATATATATATATATATATATATATATATATATAGAGAGAGAGAGAGAGAGAGAGAAGGGAGGGGGTTCAGGAGAACACCCCCAAAAAAATGAACAAACTGAAGAACATCCTGGAAACCATTTGGTCCCATATGCTTCTTCAAACTTTTCTACAACTAGAATCTTGATATGAGATCAACTTTTTTGGGGAGAACACAGACCTTTATCTATGTTTGTCTGCTTTCATCTACCTACTTGTATCATTATGACTGAAACTTTAACAAATTTAACCATTTGAAGATATGTGAAAGTTCGTGAAGATGAAGATGAGCTTAGATGAAGATGAGCTTAGATGAAGATCCCCATTTTTTGTGAGCCATCAAATGGAGGTTCACAATTTTTGGAGCCACCAAATCATAAAAACCAAGTTGTCCAAAGACTTGGAGGTGTTCTTGTTGCTCTCTCTAAAAAAAACTTGTTCTCACATGATACCAGCTGTACATATATGTGTGTGTGTGTATTTGGGGGATAAAATAGATTCGTTTTGGTTTATATGTATGCATGCCGCTGTATCTGTGTCATATTTCAAGGCGATCAAAGTCAAGCACCTAATGCTTCAGCCTCCACATCCTTGACCCCTTTCATGGTCCTGTTTCTTTCAATACCATGATTCTAATTCATGATTTAAAGATTTCTGGGCGCGCGAATAGGTTTCTCTTTTCAGGATTTGAGGTACGGGTAATGGTATTACTATTAAAAGATTATGATGTATTCAGCTTGTTTGGTATATAAAGATTAATGGTGGTCAAAAACACATTTCCACCCGCCCCATTGGGGGGGGGGGATGTTATTATGATCAGATTGATCAAAATCCTTTATTGCTGAAGCGAAGAAGGAAACTGATACAGGCTATAGCAATAAATTTAAATACATCAGATTATGCATCCATTTAATCATTTAAGGTATCACAGACCATAAATGGTTACTAATTGCTCAACCCCTTACTGGGTAAGAGACGCTTACGTGGTAAGAGGTGACTTTATTTACCATACACTCTGACTGACAAATGAGTTTGACCGAGTTGCTCACTTGGTAAGGAAAGAAAGACTCTTTGCTTGCCGGTAAATGCTTACCCAATTTGTGTTGGCAAATAAAAGCTTATGCTGTAACTATAAAAGAGTAGAAAGAATCATGCCTACGGTTTAGCTTAAATGACCCTTTTATCTAAAGACCAGATTAAGTTAAGTGTATGGCATATATTTAAGATGTTACATGTACCCATGTGGCCGTTTGTTACTAGATATGTTTAAGCGAATATGCATATATAAACACATATATATTAATCTACCAAACTTATGTTTTATGTTATCTTGTGGATATCTTTCTTAAGGTTTATGCTTATTGGTAAAACTAATTTTTGCAAAACGATCCCACTCATTTACACATATGCATATGTCGATAAAGAAAACGTTACCTCAATCTGGATTCACGAAGCTGGTCTCCTTGGTTAGACTTTCCTTTATTTCCGACCCACTGCTGCCTACTTTGGTTCCAGAAAAGAAAACCTACAGCAAAGTAACTGCAACCATTACGTAACTTTAAAAAAATAAGAAATACAAGATAGCAACAAGAAAATTTCGAGCAATAAGCTTCATATATATTTGGTACATTACATCAAGACTCGGGACCAGTGAGAATTTTCATTTTCATAAGAAGGTGAGAAAAAGTGAAGATACATTTATATTTTATGAATGATGTGTTCTATTTTGTGTAGGTTGTAACCTCCACATGACCTGAAAATGTGTATCGGAAGTTTACATTATATTGTGTGAAGGCAGTAGCCTCCACACAATATATTCACAGGTCTCATAATAAGGTTACATTATACTTAGGGGTGTAAACGAGTTGAGCTTTTAACGAGCTACTCGAGCTTAATAATTCTAGAGCTCAAGTTGATCTCGAACACAAAATAGAACTCCTTTAACTTAACAAGTCGAGCTTCATAACCAATGTACGACTCAGCTCATTCAGAAGCTCGATTAAATTTTTCGAGCCGAGCCGAGCCATTCCAGCATATACTTTTACGAGCCAAATACACTCATGTTCACAAATAATACAAAAAAAAATATGAAAAATTATCAACCACGAGGCAATTAACGAGTTAATCAATCGCGAGTATGAGCCCATAAACGAGCATCGAGCTCAATTACTCAAAAAATATTCAAGCTCGAGCTCGACCCTTACATTGAACAAGTTATTTGAGCTTGAATCGAGCTCGAGCCTGGTATAATTTTTTCGAGCCGAGCTCGAATAACCTACTACTTGACTCAACTCGGCTCATTTACACCCCTAATTATACTGTGTGAAGGTTGTAGCTTTATCACCTTCTCATGAAAATAGGTTGTTCTCACAAGAATCCAACCCTAAGTTAGCAGATACGTCTGATACACAGCATACGACAGAACAAAAACCCATTGTCCCATGTTTAGCGTGACATAAGAATGGACACATTTGGTTTGTAGGACAGGACAAGACACAACAGAACAAAAACTTGCCATGATTTATGAAGTCCTGTGACGGGTCCCCAATGCCATGAGAATCAAGAGTTGGATTGGGTGTGTCGATTGAAGAAATGGTTCCGAGAGAATGAACCGCACTGTTGTCCACATCAAGTCTACTACTTGTCAAGACGCCCTCCGCCATAGAAGGTCTTGATGCCGAGCGGATTTGACTTTCCTGACCTTTCATCAGTTTGTGCTTCGCATCACATCCAAGACAGCCACTGCTCTGTTACAGATGAGCTTAATTCTGTAAGGAATCATATTGAATAAATTAATCTTGCAACACTTGAATATTCTACTGCATGTCAAGACTACCCTGAATGTTAGACTCTCCTCCCAAAAACAAGTGTCCACTTTCAAAAGTAAGTGCTGCTTTCCAATTCCACCCTTAACTATGAGATGAAGAAGTTCATTACTCCCTCTGTTATTAAGGGTAAAATTGTCATTTAGTTGATGAAAGTGTAATAATTATAAATTTCAGAAACTCTGTGCAATTTTCATTTCCAATTCTACCCTTAACTATGGGATGAAGAAATTCATTACTCTCACTGTTATTAACGGTAAAATTGTCATTCAGTTAATGAAAATGTGTAATTATTATGTATTTCAGAAACTGTGTGCATTTTTCATCTCCAATTCTACCCTTAACAAGGGGATGAAGAAATTCATTACTCCCTCTATTATTAAGGGTAATTTGTCCTTCAATTAATGAAATACTGTAATAATTTTATATTTCAGAAACTCTGTGCATTTTAACATATCCAATTCTACCCTTTAACTATGGGATGAAGAAATTCATTATTCCCCCTGTTATTAAGGGTAAAATTGTCATTCAGTTGATGAAAAAGTGTAATAATTATATATTTCATAAAATGTGTGCATTTTTCATTTCCAATTATACCTTAACTATGAGATGAAGAAATTCATTTCTCCCCTGTTATTAAGAATAACAGGATAAAATTGTTATTCAGTTAATGAAAAATTATATATTTCGGAAACTGTGTGCATTTTTCATTTCCAGCTCTCCCCTAAACTATGACATGAAGAAACTCATTACTCCCCCGTTATTAAGGGTAAAAATTGTCATTCAGTTAATGAAAAAGTGTAATAATTATATATTTCAGGAACTGCGTGCATTTTTCATATTGGACAGTTATTTTGGGATGGAGGGATTATTAGCATTCTACCATATCGTCTAGCCTTCTACCATAGTCATCAGGACTTCCCTCGAATACTAACATAATCATAATGTGATGATGTGGTCATCAGGAAAACTCCCTCATCCAAAGAACCATATTTAACAAGCCAAGCATACTATAAGTATGAGCAAGGTAGAAAGAAGCTATACCAACTTTATAAACTGATGCCACTTCTAAGCAACAAAAGATGATAAAAGGTCGGTTTTATCTTTATGGAAAAAGAAATCTTATAGCTAAAACATAATTACTTTTTTTGTGTTTCACGTAATGAGTTGCGATCAGAAGCACATACCATAAAACCAATAATCAGAAAGACATGTTAATCTAGACCATATTCAAGAACTTGGATTAGTAGTAAATTTGGTATGGGGACGGGATTGGACATGACCGGACAGGCGAGAGTAAGGTAGGTGGATGAAAGAATTTCAGAAGGTATGAGGTTTTATATTGAATGATATAGATAGTTTAGTAATTTACGAATCAAGTCTCATCTCCCTGATATTTATTCGACCTATGTTGATAGGACAGAAAAAACGCATTTTGTCCACTCAAATCTTGTTTGTCACAATCCAATGTCGCACACGTTCATGTCCCGACTTGTCTCACATACCAAACACACAAATCACCTTAGTTTTACCATACCGTACCTTGAATTACAATTCATTGTTACGCACCTTATTGGTAGGTCTGGATCTAGGGCTTTCTAAGGGCCTGTTTGTTGGCAGCTTAACGAGCTTAACGAGACTCACAACTTATTTGGTTAGCTATACATAATTGTTTGATAGTAACTTAATGATAAAGAAAGTGGCTTGGCAAGAAGCCAAGTTTTTTTCCAAACCTGCCCCTCCCAATTAAAAAAACTCTCCTTCCATCTATTGGAAAAACGTCCTAAACAAAAACCTTTGTAATCTATACAGACAAATTAACCACTCATATAGCTTTATCCAACTTATGCAAAACCAACCAAACAGCCCCTAACAGGAATTCGTTTTTGTTTCCTAGAATTCCCTACCAGGATGATATACAATCACAAGTTCAACAAGACAGATTGATTCATATTGTTACACAACCAAAACCTAATCAGTAAATAAACAAAAACCAATAATCACCAGAAACAAGAACTCCAGAAATTAACGTAATCAAACAACATACCCCATACATGCAACAAGATGAAACAGCCAAGCAGTTACAAATCCGAATCGTAGCAGTGCTCCAATCAGAAACATCGATCTAATTGACCACGGAACGAAAGATCACAAAACCCTGATACAATATTTACATAATACATCCAATCATAGATCAACTGAGGCATAGATCAGATAGGACTTGCGTTGCAAAATTAATTTACAAATACATATATACATATAGACGCACCTGAAAGGGGAAAACATTTCCTTCCTTTTGGGTGGTAAATATGAACGATGGCCTACCAAAACGGAAAGGATTCGAAGCCCTAGAATAGCTCGAAATCGAACACCTGAAAACAATTAGTTGTGCCTGATGAATTTCCGGCGAGAAGATGCAGATCGGAGATGATGAAGTTGAAACCCAAATTCCCAATTTATATGTATATATATACACTGTGACAACTATATCCAAACGTATTAAATCAGGGTAAAAGTACCGATTTAGAAAATTGTTTATATGAAAAAGTGTATTAAAATATTGTATTTTTTGACTACAAAATAAACAAATGTACTATCAATTATGGATTAGAGAACTTGATTTAATAATTACATGCTAAAATATATCTAAATTAGACAAAATTAAAATTAAAAAAACCATGTGAAATATAGTTAAGAAATTCCACGTAAATCCAATGAAACTCGGGGATGGTTTTACTTGAACTTTTGCTTTTTAATACATGTTTAAATCTTTGTATTCTTATAGGCATTTTTAAAGAAATATTTAATGGTATCAGAACAAAGGTCTACTATTTTAGATACTCATTTTTTTCCTCTTAAAAGTTGTTGGGGAGAGTTATCTAATGGTATTAATACCAAGGTATACTACATCAAGGTCTAAACACTCTAGGATAATCTGTAATTATCTAACCCTCTCTCAGCACTCTCGGATATGGATGGAAACGGGATGGATATTGAGCGGTATGTGAAACAAACATATTGTAAAACAAAGATATGTTAATCAATATTCTAAATCCTAGTCTTGGATGAAAAAAGATCATATGAAATAATACATGATGCACAGGTTCTCAAGGTTATCATAATTTTATTGGTTCTCAAAGAAGGTCCCCATCATATAATATATGTTATACACATGTATACACATATACATATATTTAACAAAATAAAAAAACTTCATCGTCATCGGTTTAGAGGATGGTAATGCCATCCCAGCCCTACTTCGGCTATGAAAATAAACCTTCGTTCCCACCCAGTTTCCTGCCAAAGCAAGGAATCCTCGCACCGCAAGGATCGAGTACCCGCCCCAACGGGTAAAATTTCCATCTCTACTCTCAAATCATTTGTGCGCCTCAGTCTCCGTTGGAGCATGCATGTGGGACTCCCAAATCAACTAAATGTAACCATTTCTTTTCAATATATGTTGAAAAATATTTCATCTTCTCAAAGGGTTTTCTAGAAAATTATCTAACAGTGCTCCACGTACTCTCACAAAATTTAACCCTATAAAATCTCACACCGTTATAAAGTTCGGGGGTAAGATATAGACGTAAAAAAAAAACCCTAATTTACAAAGCAAATTTAAAAAAAAAAAAACAAGATAGCAAGCAAGCTAAAATAAACAAAACAAAACAGAACAAGTAGTTGCATAAAGATACATCAGATGAATTACACAAATCTTAAAAATTGCATCGATAGTTGCCTGCCCCCACTGGGAAAAGGGTAAAAGAAAATACAAACCTTTGGGAAATATGCTATAAGCCAACATCTCAGCACAAAAGTTCCCAACATATGTTTATTATAATTATAATTATAACTATGCGAAACATAAAAACACATCTTATTATACCATTTACCAACCGTAAACCGACAGATCGATCTCTTCTTACGCAGTAAGGATAGGAGGAAGGTAATCGGATTTGGCACCGAGAACACGTGCCTTCGTATCCGGGAAAAACTCCGATCCCGGAAGTTCGGTAACGGTCCCTTCGCTAGCAACCCCGATTGGGTAGCGAAGCAGGTGGCCGGGGAGATCTTGTTCGAGATTCTCACTGGCAAACAGATCCCAGTATCTGTCGGCGATCTGATTAACCTTCTTCACGCATTCTATGTTTTCCGGGTTTTGGAAGCTGTCGTCGAGCATGCCAAGGTGTTCGTACCATAAAGCCATACGGAAGCCGTGGACCTGACCCCTTGCTGGTGCACCCCTGGTGGCTAGATGATACGGTTGGTAGGCTCCCATGGCTATCTCGGAATCTCTAGCGCCGTCCATGGATCGCTGGTTGATGTTGGCGGATCCGATTATTATGTATTCATCATCGACTGTAACGTGGAAGGTGGAACGAAAGAGCAAATAAGAAAACATGACTATACTTTGCTCCGATTTATAATGAGCTTGTTATGCGTACTTAAAAAGAGCTGTAGTGATTTAATGGTGCCAAACAGATGTGTTAGGATATGTGAAACCCCTTTAAATATCTCTTTAATGCTTTTGGTATGCAAACGAGAGGAGAGGGAGGCAGGTAATAGAATTGTTGAAGGTTTTAGTGTTTTAATTTGACATTGGTAGTTTAGTAATTTATTAAGCTTGTCCCACCTACATGATTTTTGTTCCACCTTTGGTGGGATAGGAAAAAAACATTTTTGTCACACTCAGTCCTAGCTAGTTCCAGTTTAATTGCCGCACAAAATGTGGGACTATAAGTTTTTGTCACCTCCATCACTCCATGTACCAAAAGTACGAGGAGAAGGGGATTTCTACGTATAAAAAGGTTTGATGATCCATGTCTGGCCGATGTAAGACTCTTAGAAGTCCCCTCAAACTGAGGCTAGACGATGTCTCCAAGAATGGAGGCAAAAGAGTGCGGGTTCCTAGGTGGTGCTAGACCCTGGCTTTGATATCATGTTGGAATATGTGGAACCTCATCCATCTCTAAAAGCTCCTTACAAAGAGAGGGGATTCTTTTGTGTGTGTATATGTGTGTATATATATATATATATATGTAGAGGCTAAATCAAATGAGAACCACAAAAATGTTATAAACCCATGAGAACCTATTTAAAAATATTTTTTACGAAAAGGTTATAAGGTGAACACAAATACCAATATCTTAAATCATAGTTTTTGATCGAAAGAAATCATATAAAAAATATTTTTATCAGTTCTCACGAATTTTTAACCTTTTTTTGGTTGTCATGTTATATATATATACACTATATATATAGGTTTGATGGTCCATGTCTAACTATATATGGGAATCCAACAACAACAGCTCCTAATGAAGATTGTCTTCCTTCTTGAAGAAGACATTCTCTGCATCATTCACCTTTATTAGACTTTGCATCTTCCACCCATGCTAGAATAAAAAAGCTAAAGTTCATAACAAAGAGTTCAGATTCTAAATATAAGATTTTTAGAGACATAAGGAAAAGACACATACCTATCATCATTTTCGCATGCACGTAGATCATGAAGCGTCGGGCCTCCTGGGCTTTCATATAATCCGAATCAGGCTCGGGTGTTTCCGAAGGTTCATATTCCCCGTCCTTCTTCATCTCACGGTTTCCAAGACAGAAAAAGGTGAGGTAATCTCTCGGATCGTCCTCAAGGCCTTTAGCTTGAAGAGCCCCAACAATATCTTTGTACATCATCTCCATCGTCCTCCTTTGCCAGTCTAATATCGCTTGAACGGAAGCACTCTCCGGAATCCCTTCCGGCCACATGGGTACCACAACATAAACAGTAAACTTCTCCCCAGCCTCAATCTTGCTAACAATCTTTAAAGAAAGTTCCTTCGGGATGACGTGCAAAGCACCAACATCCTCACCCTTAATATCATCGAATTCCCAGGCGTAAGAGCTTCCAAGGAAATACTGGTTTTCGATATAGATGAAACGTTTTGCTCTCCTTATAGCATGGATATAAGCATCCTGGATACTTCGGTCAATTATGTTATCCTTTCCGCTAACAAGACCTGATTTTGCCGCCTCTTCTGGTGTGTCGGGAAACCCAAAAGCGGCCCCACCATCAATGGACCGGAACACCTGAACGTTCCATGTCTCTTGGTCATCAGGGAACATGACTGGAGAAGGGGAGGTTAGGATGCCATCAAGTTCCCTTAAGTTAACCAAAAGATCTTTCCCACCTTGCTTTCTCCACCGTTGTTCGAAATTGAACAGAACATCCCAAGCAACCGGTCCTTCAAGTCGGCTGTGTATGTCGTGCCATGGCTCCCTGGGCCCACCTTTGGTTATGGAAGCTCCAGTATAGTTGGGCTGGTGGAAATCGTCATGGTGAGCGGTGTCTAATGTTCTGAAAAGGGAATGGAAGGGGGAATCATATCTCCCGTCGCATAGATCAATACCGCCAACAAAACTCACCACCCTCCTGCTCTGCGATTCCCCACTGGGCATCTCGGCGTCCACCACCACAATTTTCTGGTGATGAGTGAACATGGTGGAGATTTGAAGGTCCTGAATGAAACTTCCACCATCATCAGGGTTTCGGGGGCATAAAACACAATGAACATCGGTACCATTGAAGTAGTTTTCGGTATCTTCGTCATGGGTAGCCATTAATCCATCCTTCTTAATTACATCTACAGAGGTTCTGTCATCCCAAATAAGCATAAGAACCCTAACACCTTCACTTGCTTTGTTTTTTAGAAGTTCGCCAAGCATAACATCTCCTCCAGCCTTTTGCCTCCTTGAATCTCTTATCAAACTTATCTGAGTGTAAACAGACCATCCAGTAATATAGATGAAGTGCTTTGCATTAGTGATGGCATCAAATATATCTTCCCAGCATCTATGTGGCTCATAGAATTTGCCACCAGCAAGGGGTATTTGAGGGATGAAATTGTCGGGTACATGAGCATCTTGATACAAGGACACCCGACATCCTTGTCTCTGAGTGAAGAATGTGTAAGGAACTCCAGGATATTTGCCACTTTTGATCCCGTGATTCCAGTTACGATCTTGAGTAACATCAAAATACTGTAGCTTCACATGGATTTTAGAACCAGCATCTATGGGATTTCGGTCTTCATCCAAGATCTCGACCCATCTATCCATTTCTTCCCCATCTAAGAGTTCTTCAACAGGGATATAAGCTCTTCCAATTAAAGTTGCACCAATGGGATTATCATCCTTAACAGTGAATATGACATTAGTAGCTGGGTGAGCACAATAGATGTGGAAAGACTCATACCACTTTGGGTTTTCAGGGTCATTCTCAATCATCCTAGTCCGTCCGACTCTGCATTTTTCTAGGTCGATTGTTGCATACATTTTGGCAGTTCCTTTCCCAAAGCCAACAGTCTCCTCTATGTTAGACACGAGCTGCCATAAGAAGAGCATCAATGAGAAACCCGTTACTCCAAAAGCCAAAATATTATGTTACCCTAGACAGTTGCAAGTTGCAGACTTGACAAAACAAAGACTGAGATAAGAATGAGACTATAGATTCAAGGAAAAAACTCTACAACAGAAAGAGTTGCTATTTTTCCTGAATGACAGCTAGAAATCAGGTAAAAGGTACACATATCGATTAAGATGTAACAGGAAATCACAAGGAAACAACAGAACCTTCAAGGAACCAGATGTCATCGGCATGGATATTGTTACGAAGGATAGTTGGTCTGAAAGACAATCAGAAACCATGTTTTGGAAGTGGCTGCTCAGACCAAATTGAGCTCGAAAATACTAGATGATTCCTCATCAGAACAATCTGAGCACCCAGACCAAGGGTCAGCATCAGAATTGCAACTTCTCTTTACAGAACGATATTTCAGCTAGTGTTTAAAAAGGGCCTCTGCTTATCAACTAACCCTCACCAGTTGTAGCATCATATCAATGCAGAAATATATATATATATATATATATATATACAAACACACATCAATTTAAATGTCATATGTAATCATTACGGTCAGCAATCTCAGTCATCAAAGAAACCAATAATTAGCTCAAAACATGAACACAGAGCTTCCAGTTAAGACGACTAGCATGACATGTAAGTACGCTGTACGAGTATCCAGTACTTGTGAGACCCCCCATGTCAAAAATCTCATTTGTTGCCAAGAGAGAACTGCATTGCATGAAAAAATCTGGTGGTTTATTAGTCTTTAGGGAAACATTTGGTACACAGACAAAATTGTATTGGACCGGAGGGAGCAAGACTGGACAATACTGAAGAGAACAATTTGTCTATCTAGTATTTGGTACGATTAGAACCGAACAAGACATGACAGGACTAGACTAAAAGAAATCACTACTGCCTTGATCACTACGTAATTTGTACTTCAAGAACACAAAATATCCAGCTTCTTTTTTTACTCAAAATGACAAATGCTCCCTCCATTGGCAATCATGGTCCGAATATGACTTTGTATTCAGATCTAGTACTTTATAAATTCAGAACTTGCAAAAACAAAGAAAAACCCTTTTACCGTGCTAGATCCAAAGCATAATGTTATAAAGGAGTAGCATTTTTAAGTAAAATTCAGTTATCCACAATTTTCTTATCAATTTTGAAGCAACTTAACCTACGTGACAATCAAAAACCAAATGTTGAACTTTTTGCCAGACTCAACCAATATAAATCTGTCATCGACCATCCTCAGCAAAGGAAAAAAGATGTCAAACTAATACAACGAGTATAAAAGCTGATTGTAACGAAAAAAAAAACGTATTGTATACCTTCGAGAATATATTGCCGCCACCATTACTGATACGGAGCTTATCAACTTCATAAATCGTCACATGAAGAGTGCCATGGAGATGTGTCACAGCCATTATCTACCCTGCAACATAATTTACACTCGCGTTACTCACTCATCAAATTACTCCTGCTTCCTAATCGCCACTTTTACCAACTCATAGAACGAAAATAACTCGTTTAACCCAAATATAAACCGAATTAACTTAAAAAATAGTCGAATCGAAGCAAAAACCTACACATCAACGAGATTTACTGTAATTTAGAACGATCTAGTGATACAGTGTAGCAAATCGGAACAAATTTCGTGTCTACAAGCAAAAATACGAAGTAGATGAGATCAAAACTTACTTATTCTGCTAAACAAAGGATCTGAACTGAAATAACTTGACAACAACCGAATCGGATCGAAAACCTCTACATCAACAAAAAGTCACAGTAAAGTTAGTATAATTAAAGTGCGATACAGTACCTGGAATCTGCAAAATACTTGTTGGACACATGAAAATATGCAAAATTCAACAAACCTGGGTTAATCTGATTGGATAATCGAGAGGATATGGCAGGAGATTCAGTCGGAAAATGTAAGGAGAGAGAGGAGAGGGCAATGGATGATTAACGTGATCGATCGATGGCCTGACCCAGCTGAGTCATTGATTCAAACCCAACCGGCTATCCAATCCACATCGGTTTTTAAGGCGGATGGGCATGTGTCACAATATCCGTCGACACCGTGATACGCGTGCCCAAACAATAATATCATAATCAGATTAAATTATCTATTGATAACATATTTTTTAAATTAAAAAATTGAATAAAAGGCTTTTAAGATTGTTTATAAAAATAATTTATTGTTTATAAAAATAATTTATTGATTTATTTTGATGTAATATTAGTAATAAATATTTTTGAATGTTTGGATAAACAGTTTATATCAGTGTCAAATCAGTATTAAGGAGTTTCTGAAAAAATTAAATCATTTTAACTTATAATAAGTTGATAAATATTTTTGTAGAAAATCATAAGTTATTTCAAATAAGCAATCTCAAACACCCCCTAAAATCTTTAAAGGAATGGTTTTGAGGGATTTGGGATTTATAAAAATATATGTTTGATTTGATAAATTTGGAATGAAATGGAATGAATTTTCATTTTTAAAAAATAATTTATAAAAACAAATTGAAAAAATAATTAAATTACTTTTTTATTAATGATTTATTAGAAAATAAGTGTTTTTAACATATTTTAAAACATTATTATATAAAAAATCCCGTAAAATCCCAACCACTCTCGTGGGATTTCAAAATCCTATGTTTGAGGGATTTCAAATAAATCATAAGATTTCAAATTTGAACAATCCTACAAATAAAACACGGTGTTGAAATAAATTCGAAATCCAAATGCCCCCAAATTTGAATAATCCATTCCTGCAAACCAAACGGACTCTAAAGAAATTTATATTCATCTCTAGCAACATCTCTATTTTGAAGATTATAATATGAATTATATTATTAAAATATTCAATATATTTTATAAAATATTATTTCTCTATCTTATGCATCTAATTTCAAGGAATCTCATTTGTATAAAATAACTATAACATTTTAAAACAACAAAGTCTCATATGATTTCACTTAAATGAATCATTCTTCCAACATTATTCGAAAGTTGGAACCTAGATCGTCAAATTGGCTAAATGAGTAAAAGACTAAGGGGCCGTTTACCAAATGTTTACCTGGGGAAGTGCTTACCAAGTCACATTACCTTACCGGATGAATATGACAAAGACCAAGAATTTTACCTTGTAAGAGCGAAGACAAGGACTGAGAGTCTTACCCGGTAAGTGATAACGACGACTCTTACCACGGTTAGCACTTACCGGGTCAGTTATTATATACAATGTCTTTTGTTGGACTCAAATCTTACCAGGTAAGTAAACGATAGTGTTGAATTTTATCGGTAAACGCGTATCGGGTAAGTGTTTAGATAAACGGTCCCTAAAACATCATAATAGAGTTAAAACATCATAACTAGACGTAGACGTCGTTTACCAAACACTTACTGTGTAAAAGCTTATCCTCAAGAACGTTATTCCCACTTACCTTATTCTATAAGATTATTGGTCATCAAAATCATCGTTATAAGCGTCTGTTGGGTAAAAGTCTTCTTTTCACTTGTCATGTTAGATTTTTGGTATTTGTTGTGCCTCTTATCGGGTAAGATTTTAGGTCTTTATCATGCTCACCCAGAAAATACGTAACACTCGGTAAACATTTGATAAACGACCACTTAAAGTAGTTATAATCTACTAGAAAAATGTCAAGCCATATATAATTTAAGTAATTAATAAAACATGTATAATTAACCCCAAACATTACAAAAATGAAGAGTATTAGCTAGGGAAAATTCCCTCGCTGATCCGTCGCTAAAAGGGGTCTTCTGTCACTGATCCGTCGTTATCGTTCATCGGTCAAAAACTTGTAGATAATGCTATCAGCGACGGATTAACAACGGATCAGCAACAAAAACTTTCAACAACAGATCAACGAAGGAATATTTTTGCGACGAATCAATGAGAGAAACTTTCTATGGGTTTTTGATTTATTAGGTATTTTATTATTGGTTAAAGACGTGTTTAAATTATATAACAAAAATAAGCATCGGACAAATAAAGTTTGACTTTATTCTAAGAATAAATGTATTATTTTTGGAATTTAAATGAATCATGTGGCTTTATATAAAATACTTTTAATTATAATACGTGTTTGTTAGGTTGTATATTAAATTCATGATGGCTGTAAATAAAAATAATCGACCATATTATTTTGCCTTTACTAAATACATTTTTTTTTCCAAGTAAGGTCCGTTTAATTAAATGTTTATTCGGTAGTCGTTTATTATTAGAAGTCTAACATTATAATTTATTTTATCAAGTAAGATTGTAGTATCAAAATGATATTCTATGCAACAATTTACCCAGTAAATACTTACCCGAGTAAGAGTTGTATCTTCATTTACCGAGTAAGACTCTCCATCTTTATTATTGTTCTTACTGGGTAAGATTTTTGACCATTGTCATGTTTATTCGGTAAGGAAAATTACCAGGTAAGGACCTACCGGGTAAGCGTTTAATAAACGGCTCCTAAATTTTTTGTTAAACCGTAGCATTTTTAAGGGGATTAAAGGCCTAGAAAGTAGTTCGATGTGACTTTAGACGAATTCTACTGCCTCGAAGGTTTTTTTCAAGTTTTTAATTGATTTCGAGAGATTTTTTTAGGTTTTTTTTTTTTTTTTTGATTTTGAAAGACTTTTGATTTTTGGTTGATTTCGATGAAATTTTTAGTTTTTTTCTTGATATTTATTGTGTTTTATATTATTCCTGATAACGTGTGCACTTTTCATACAAAAAAAAATTTTACTTGTGAAAATTAGTTGAACAGAGGCATCGGATTCTGTTGGAGCCTTCACAAGTTCGTTCCTGTTTTGAAGCCCAAATTTTAAAGTACATCTGTACATGTAAGGTAAATTAAAAAATGTCAACAATAGAAGCGTAAAAATAGAATATGAAAAAACGGCCTCAACAACTACGTAGGCATAAAAAGACCATGGAAAGTCTTGTTTTTCTAAAAACGAACCCAACTATTTCTTTTCAATAGTAGACTGTAATTACAGTCACAAAAAGCATGCCGATAAAACTGTTAAACTAGATTGAATTTAACAGCCTAACCTGTTTGTCCATTATAAACAATTTATAAATCCAAAGTTCATTTGTGGCCGTTTCTAGAATGGCGCATTTTCTTTTTGCTTTTTGTACCATCTCTTTTTAATTGTGCTTTGTGAATACTTATCTGTGTAGATTTTGTCGATAGTTAATTCTCTAATTGAAACGATCAGTATTAAACATTTTGAGTATAAATTATCCTCGGTAGTTCATAAATTGAACATTAAAATGAATTTTTATGACGTTTATAATATTAGTCTGTTGGTAATATTCGATTTTAAAAAAATACAGCTATGACTCTATTTACGGTTTCGAAATTACAGTTATGACCTACAAAATAAGAAGAAAAATAAGGAAAAAAATTAATAACTCCTAATGACTCCAGACTATTTTCATGAAACTTGTGAGATCACATAAACATAACTGAACTTCACAATAAAACATTGTAAAATCCAAATCAAGGATATTCATATCTTATTGAATCGAACTAAGAAATTTGAATCTTTGATAAAAAAAAAATCTAATCTATTTGAAATAGAAAAATGACTTAATCGGATAAGTTAACATTTATTCAATGTTTTTTTTGTAGTATTTTACTGTAAAAGCTTAGTTTTTTTTTTCTTCATATTTTGCTATAAAATTTTAATATTATTTTATGATCTTATAAAAACAAATTGATGTGACGTTAATTCAACCATATATATTTCAGAATTGCACCGAGTGATCCACCGAAAAAGAGAAAGGGCACTAAAAAAGGATGATAATTACCACGTGCATCGTACAATTGCACGTGCATCGTAGTTGATTGTTATTTAAAATGTTCTTTAAAGGACAAAAAGGGAAAGTTGCTCATAAAAAAACACTACCCGTGAATCATGGTTTTAAAAACATTAAAGGACCGTTTACTAAACGTTTATCTTGATAAGTGTTTATCAAGTAACATTATTTTTCTTAATAAATATAATAAGGACCAAGAATCTTACCAGGTAATAACGAGACAAACATCAAGAGTCTTACTCGGTAAGCGCTTACCGGGTAAATTATTGTATACTATGTCGTTTTTGTGGACTAAAATCTTACCCGGTAAGTACATAATAGTATTAAGTTTTACCGGTAAATACTTACCGGGTAAGTGTTTGATAAACGATCCATTAATTTTACTCGTTAATATATGATCCCAAAATGTGTCGTTTCTTTTTCTTATATACTTTTCTCCGCATTTCAGTAATTTCCATGATTTACGGGCTGTTTACCAAACACTTATCATGTTAAGTGCTTACCAAGTCACATTACCTTACTAAATCAATATGGCAAAGACCAAAAATCTTACCCGATAAGAGCGAAGGTAAGGACTGAAAGTCTTACCCGGTAAGTGACGACGACGACTCTTACCATAGTTAGCACTTACCAGGTTAATTGTTGCATACGGTATCGTTTTAGTGAACTAAAATCTTACTCGGTAAGTAACTGATAGTTTTAAATTATCGGTAAACACTTACCCAGGTAAGTGTTGGTAAAAAGCCCCTAAGATGATATGCATCAGAATAATCTTCATATCAAGTGCGATTTATATGTGAATTTGAGATTAAAGGTGATCAAGAGTCCAGATCTCTTTTTATGCTTCTTATTTTAACTCTACTTTTGACACGATTCTTTATTTGAGCTTGTTTGGGTGAAAAAATTATAACAACAAATGATTAAGATAAACTCACGATTAAGTATCTCCTTGACACGTGATCAATCAAAAATCACGACAACCTATTTTCTAACGGTTAGCGATGTCTATTACTGTTTTGACATTCATTGCAGGTAGCTTCTATAAGCAAAAATTAATGATGAAAGATTCTTTTGTTAATGTACATATTATAATTTACTAATAAGAAGTCTCATCAAAGTTGCATAATATCGGCTCCCAAAATTATGGACATAAAGTAGTGGTT